CTATTTCATAATTTGGTTTTCTTTTAACAATAATTTTAGATTTTCTATAAAATGATATTCCAGGGCCCAAAAGGTTATATAGCATAAATATGTGAAGTACACCTGCAGTATGGAAACAGTACTACAAAATGGCCGTTTTACACTTTTTTCTAGTAAATTCCCCTCTAATATATATTCTATTCTCTATGTGAACAAATAATATAATATATAGTTCTTCTTATTTACAAAACATATACTATAGTTTTCATCATTTTTCAGAGGCTATATAAGATAAAGAGTTCAAATTCTAATTCCTAGTTTAATATTATGTTACACGTTTTCAATCATAACTCCGCTTATCGAGCAGCTTTTGAAAAGAACCAAGATGTTTTGAATTTCTAGTATGTAACCGGATGATGTTTCTTTACTTTTCTTGTGGGTAAATCAAAACTAATGGAGCTACAAGGTCACAAAGTTATACCAGTGATGTCAGATAAACTTTACTTTTTCTTACCGTCTTCTTCGCAGTTTAGCATAACATAACAAAATCTTTGTTCTGAATTTTTAATTTAACAAATGCACAGTGACCATTAGTAAATGAAATGTTTAAGAATAAAACAGAACAAGTTCTATTCATATGGGGATTCGAATCTAAAATAAAAACCAACAAAAATATCTACAGGGTGAGTCAAAAAAAGTGTCATTTGCGGCGCCTGGTGCAAAATTGTACCTTTCTATGTGTAACTCTCCTGTATGGAAGTTTTTCAATATTTTTGAAAATTTGTATTTTTTTTTGGTACTTCAATGGCCCAAAAAAATCAGCGTACTTCATTTCTCTCAAAATCAAAAGTTCATAAAAACAAAAATGTGCGAGTAAATTGTTTCTATTGAAATCTAAAATTTTAAAGATTCAATCACAGAATCTCAGAAAATTTGCAAAATTGTAATTAGAAAATTCGCAATTTTCAGTTCTGGTTTATTTTTTACAGGAAAAAATATTTTTCAATGGTTCTCAAGGTTTCAACTAAACGGCATTTGTTTAATACTTTAGAATATACTAAGAAGAAAGGAACTAGAGAATTTGAATAACTTTTCCTTAAAAATCAGACCAGAACTAAAAATTTTCTGTGATTCAATCTTTCTAAAATTTTAGATTTCGATAGAAATAACTTATGTACACATTTTCGCTTTTCTGAACTTTTTTTTGAGAGAGAAAAATAAGGTTCGCGGAATTGGTAAAAGTGTAAATGCACTGTAAATAATCTGTAAACGTGCACTGAGTTTGTATGTAATGTATAAGTATAAAACATTATGATATAATGCAAAATAACCATTAACCATGCGTCATACGAGCATTATTCCTTTATAAGATTTTTTTCTTTTCACAAGAAATTAATGTTTAATAAGAAATTCATGTCTATATCAAAAAACCAAAAAATTTTAAAAGTTGAACAATGCTTAATCGTTACGCCAACACCCAAACAAGTAAAAATCTGAAAAATGTTTTAGTGGGTTATCAATTTTAAACAATAATAATAATAATTGTGTAAAATTATTATTATTATTGTGTAAAATCAAGGTTGATTAAACTAAAACTGAGATCAGATAAAATAATAATAAAATGTTTTCTAGGTAGGATAAATTTAAAATAAGCGACCGGCAATATGAGTAGAAATGAAGGTAAAAACGCAATGAAAATTAAACAAGTTCATAATAGAATCTTTTATTACTGATGACACAAAAAGTACCAAAAAAAATATTTAAAAGATTGTGCAAAAGAACACAAGTATATAGGTTTTAAATTCAAGTTTAGGGTAGTTCTAAGATTCTGTCTCCGGAGACATATTTCAAGGAAGTATTAGGAAGAAGTTTTAAACAATTATCCAGCCTTTCACAGAGTTTAATCCATCGGGAGAAAAAGTTAAACAGATCAGCGATGATATTAAGAAATTTTCGAGTAAACGTATTTTTTTCAAATTAAGGTTTGCAAATCGAATTTTGAATTTAAATAAAACCAAGGTTGTAATGCAAGGAAAGTTAATTGCGGTCGTGTATACTCTGCGTACATATTGAAACCAGTTCTCTCTGGGCGGACTTTGTAAACAAGAATCGATGCATCAGTGTTCGTTTAGTATCCGAGGAGGTTAAAAGCATTTAATTTTAATAATTTTGATAATTCACATAATAGTTTTATATTACCATAATATTTCATTGATTTTTTATGTGGAAGATGGATCCCATTCCCATGTCAGGCTTTGACATCCGTCTTGTGTTTACATTACCGCCCATGAAACCATGAAAAACCTAGTACAAGAGTTTCCACAGAAAATTCTTAGTTATAAAAATAATACCTTGGCATCGAAGGCCGGGATGAGACTGGCCGGATGATCATTCATGAGTTGGATGAGTATATTCAAAACATCCTCGAGGTTTTCATCCTAAAATCAAAAATGGATGAAAAAGTCCATTTTTAAATGGGTTCAGAAGTCATTCTTGTGAAGTCATCGATTGTAAAACTTTAAAATTTACTATTATACTCTTTATGGCAAAGAGTAACATAAGGTTTTCTTTCATTAATTCACCAATATGAATCTTAAAAAATATAGAATTACTCCAAAATAACGAAAAAACATTACATATATAATTATTAAAATTAAATGAAAAATTGGTAAACCAAAAGTAAAGGAAAATAAATCGATTCACACTCTAAGAATAAATCAGCAAGTCTGAACCTGAATTTTTTATTCCAACAAATTCATATAAAGAGACTGTAAGCGTAATTATATGTGACCCTTTATTCAAATATGACAATGCCCGATTCACAACGGTACCCTTGAAACCTTTTTTCCTGCAATATAAATGCTCAAGTGACTTTTTCAGTGACAACAAAATTGAAAATAATCAGCTTTCAAAATTATAAACATTGATGTATAACTTATACTTGATCAGACAACGCTTTTAATGGTACCGTTGTGAAACGGGCATAGTCGTCTTTGCATGGAGACTCACTTGAAAATACCCTAACAGTCCCTTTAAAAATCTTTGAACAAACTTCTCCAGGATTAAATTCATATTTATCACAGACAAACATCAAGATTCAGCAAAGTTTTAAAATACATAAAGAATACAATTTTTACAACTTGATGCAAAAAAAAACCAATAAATGAATGATAAATTTTTGATGAATCAATAAATGCAGGAATTATTAAAAGGATAAATAAATGATTGACGAATTGAATGCAACACTTGATAAAGATGTTAGAAATAAAAGGATAAATAAATGATTGACGAATCGAATGCTACACTTGATAAAGATGTAAATAAAAGGATGAATAAATGATTGACGAATTGAATGCTTCACTTAATAAAGATGTAAAAAAAAGGATGAATAAATGATTGACGAATTGAATGCTACACTTAATATAGATGTTATAAATAAAAGGATGAATAAATGATTGACGATAAAATTTTAGATTTCGATAGAAATAACTTATGTACACATTTTCGCTTTTCTGAATCAATATCCAGAACTTTTTTATCCTCATTAAAGAAAATTAGCAGTTAAAAAATCAACTGAATAATCGAAAGAGTGTTTATTTACAAAAATTAATGATTACTTTCGGCGTAATTTCAAGCGACCCTTCAATTAAGTTTTTTTTTTCAATTAATAATTAATTAAAAATTAATTTTTAAGCGACCCTTTAATTAGTTTTTTTTGGCCTCTTTTAAAGTAAGGATTATGAAGCAAGATATCGTAGTTCAGCTGTCTTGTGAAAACTTCCTTACTTATCTCTGTATCTTAAATCTGTAGGTCAACTCTTATTCTTTGAAATTAATCTTTTCTATTTCTAATTCCTGGGAGTTGTTGAAGAAAAGTAAAGTTTCTGCTTGTTTTTCTTAGTTCCTCCAGAACCTTATTAATATTTTAACCCAAACTTTCATCTCACTCTGAACACGAGAGAGAGGAAAAATAAAAGTTTTTAATGAAAAACCTGGAACTTATATTAGTATTGGACACATGCATTAGGACCAAAAACCAAGTACGGAGGTAGTATCATTAATCTTAAAAGCGAAATCTCGATATTCAATCTGGGCAATTTTAAAGATTCACCGACAAAGGGTCAAACGACACAGGGTCAAACGACAAAGGGTCAAACGACAAAGGGTCAAACGACACTGGGTCAAACGACAAAGGGTCAAAACGCGACAAAGGGTAAAACGACATAGGGTCAAAAAATGCGACAAAGGGGCAAATTTATTTTTAATTTTGACATCTGTTACAGTTAGTATTTATCTATTATTACTTAGGGTTAGGTTAGGTCAAGACACTAGGGCCGAGCGCTGCGGCCACGGGTTAGGTCAGTTAAGACACTTTCTTGGCCGAGCGCTGCGGCTAGGACAGGCTAGGGGGCCGAGCGCTGCGGCCACATGGTCAATTACATCCATGTCTAACATACAAGATCCATGTACAAAATTGATAGGAGGGTTGCGAGTTTCCTATGATTCAAATCAAAAAATATTTTTATCATTATGACCTTTTGTCGTTTGACCCTTTGTCGCACTTTTGACCCTTTGTCGTTTGACCCTTTGTCGTTTGACCCTTTGTCGTTTGACCCTATGTCGTTTGACCTTTTGTCGGTGAATCCTTTTAAATTTGAGGATAAACGCTTGACCATTCAGTTAAAGTTATCTCTGCAGGGTATGACTACAAAAGGATACCGGAGGGGAATTAAATTAGTCCGTGGGTCTGCATAAGATGGAGATTAATGCTTAATCCCGAGATTCAATTTACAAAAGTGAATTTCAAAGAAAAATTAAGTTGACATTTTTATGAAAATTTAGCTTTTTTACCGTACTATTGAAAAAATATTCCTATTTTGGTATGACAGTGGGTAAAAACTGAACTGGCACGTCATACAGGGGATGGGTCGTCTTTACTTCTAATTGAAGCATGTAAATTTTGCATTTAAGTACAAAAATGTTTTTGTGTTTACAAAACTGGTGAAATTATCCCCCCCCCCTCATCCCTGCATACAGTGCATAACTGAGATATAATAAATCTGTATAGAAGTAATTAAGATGTTATTGGAAATTATCGGAAAACATAATTGAACAAACATAGAGAATAGAATATATATTAGAGGGGAATTTAAGAAATCTCTCGGTATGAATTTTTTCAGTCCCTTTCAGCCTGAAAGGGAGTTCAAAGTGTACAAATCATGTAAATGTTCACAAATTATATGCAGTAGAGTACATAAATCATCGTTTGTAAAGTGGAAGGCATAAAGTCTATGTGAAATGATCATTGGTCAATTATGAAACCAGCCTATTTCATAATTTGTTTTAGATTTAAATAAAATATATTGATTTTTAGATTAAAATTGGCGCCGCAGGCAAAATTTGTTAAATATATATTCTTAGAAATCAAAATTTATAGGCTAGAAGGTGCCTGCTCTCTCTTTTTGGGCCCGTAATTTTTCCAGGGGGGGTGGAGACATCCCCCAATTTTTCAGGAAGGGGCACGACCCCCCCCCCATAAGCCGCCTCTGGACCAAATAGTGTACAAGTTTTTTATCATTTTTTAAAGAAATCTATATTTCATCCATACAAGATACTGCAGTGTATTAGTGGTTTCTGGCATTATATAATCCGCCACAAAAAGGTGATACACAGTGGCGTTTTTTTTAGAGGGGGGTGACTTCCCACCCCTAAAAAATTGAAGCCACCCATTGGAAAATTCGGGGCGCTCTATGTAGAGCCTTGCTAGCTTCTTTAATTTGATTTCTTAGAATGGATCGAAAAAAAATAAAAATGTTAGTTCACATTTACTTTCAGGAGAGGGAGATGCGTAAAAATAACCAAAATGATTACATGGGAGGGATGTATAAAAATTTTGGCGGGCTTCCTGAAAAAATGTTCACCCCCCCCTCCCCCTAAAAATACATCATAAGCCGCCCTAAAAATGAGTGCCAAGGGGACTTAAAGCACTTAAAGCAATAATAATAGAATGCTGGAATATATAGTCCTATAGTCCGAATCCCCTGGAGTATATAGTCCTATAGTCCTAATCCCCTGGAGTATATGGTCCTACAGTCCTAATCCCCTGGAGTATATTGTCCTATAGTCCTAATCCCCTAAAATATATGGTCCTGTAGTCCTAGTCCCGTGGAGTATATAGTCCTAATTCCCTGGAATATATGGTCCTATAGTCCTAGTCCCCTGGATTATTTAGTCCTATAGTCCTAGTCCCCTGGAATATATGGTCCTATAGTCCTAATCCCCTGGAATAAATGGTCCTATAGTCCTAGTCCCCTGGAGTATAAAGTCCTAATCCCCTGGAGTATATGGTCCTATAGTCCTAATCCCCTGGAGTATGTAGTATTATAGTCCTAAACCCCTGGAATATATGGTCCTATTGTCCTAGTCCCGTGGAGTATATAGTCCTAATCCCCTATAGAGTATATGGTCCTATGGTCCTAATCCCCTTGAGTATATAGTCCTATATTCCTAATCCCCTGGAATATATGGTCCTATAGTCCTAGTCCCCTGGAGTATATAGTCCTAATTCTGGAGTATATAGTCCTAATCCCCTGGAGTATATGGTCCTATAGTCCTAATCCCCTAAAGTATATGGTCCTATAGTCCTAATCTTCTGGAGTATATAATCCTGTAGTCCTAATCCCCTGGAGTATATAATCCTTTAGTCCTAATCCCCTGGAGTATAAGATCCTATAGTTCTAATCCCCTGGAGTATATGGTCCTATAGTCCTAATCCCCTGGAATATATGGTCCTATAGTCCTAATCCCCTGGAGTATATGGTCCTATAGTCCTAATCCTCTGGAGTATATGATCCTAAAGTCCTAATCCCCTAGAGTATTTAGCCCTGTAGTTCTAATCCCCTGGAGTATATAGTGTCCAAATCCCCAAGAGTATATAGTGTCCAAATCCCCAAGAGTATATAGTCCTCTAATCCCCTGGAGTATATAGTGTCCTAATCCCCAAGAGTTCATAGTCCTATAGTTCTAATCCCCTGGAGTATCTTTCTAAATTCCAACCATGTTCCTGCTTCAAGCATCAATATATATATATATCTGTAGATTCAATATGGGGGCTCATCGTATCCTATATCCCCAACCATATATTTCTCTTATCCTATAATATCCTCCCCTCCTCTTACTGTCCAGTCCTCTAACTGGGTTTTATCGTTTTCTAAGACTTCTTTTATTAGACTATTGTCCCAGAAAATGTAATTCTGAGAAAACTCGAGAATAAATATTATTTCCTTTTGACTTTTCTTCTTCTATTCTTTATTCTATTAAGAGATTCCTTTTATTCAATATCTTTGATTCTGAAGATACATTTTTCTAGATCTAGATCATTCAAAGGGGGGGGCAGGATATGCTAAAAGAAGAACAATTCAACATATTGTCATGCTAA